GCTGACTCTCACCAGTGGCTATGGATGAAGTCACAGGCGATTTTCAGCCAGCGTCGGAGAAGAACATCTTAAATTGTTGCTGAACAAGTCACTGAGACACATACCTGGAAACAACGTACAACTGAAAAGAAACTACCTGTGCTTCTACCACTTTACATCATCATTGTCTCTGGTATTTTCTTTCTCATATAGAAATTCACAGCCTCTTTAAAGTTATTCATGTCAGCCATTCTGTGTAAGTTAACTCGCATACTGCCTAAATCTTTCTGTTATAACTGCCTGGGTTACTGTACTACACAGATAATGATCTTTCTATCCATACTGGTTATATCATCTATAATGTTAGGCATTATCTTCATGTCTCTGGCGGTGATTCTGCAGTTTAAGTAGACTACTTTCCATAGCAGAACACGGACCTAAAAACAATTTCCTGCATGTTATATCTTACAGGTTAGGTCCACTTCCTTCAATCTTTGAATCTAAGGAAGAATGACCTTAATATTTTTGCCATCTGTTTCTGTCGTCCTCCTCTTTCTGTCACTGGGAAGGAGGGAAGCCCCAGGATCTGGTTATCCACCATCCTGACCCTCGGGCTGGTGAGGGGGTCAGAAGAGTAAGGGACCTTGCCAGCTGGGGCTCTAGGTTGGCAGTGGGAGACTCAGAACATGTGCACACAGACTAATGGGGAGAGAAGGGAAAGCGGAGGGTCTTAGAGCCACCACTTTCCCCAAGTGTCCGACCCCTCAGATATAACCATACAATTACCTTATCCCCTCCCTCACTCTCCTCTGAGAAAGAATTGTCATCAAATAAATATTTTGGGGGCTGAGAAATGTATTTATTTGTCATAGGAAAACTAGGTAAAAAAACACCTTTTATTGTTGTGTGCCATTGAGTTGCTTGTGACTCATAGAGGCTCTATGTACAATGGTTCTAAACCCTGCTCTATCCTGAGCCAACCTTATTGTCTCTGACACACGTACCCTCATTACTCTATTCAGTCAAACCCTCCTGCACTGTCCCTCCACCCTTCCAACCATAATGTCCCTCTCCAAGGACTGGTCCCTCCTTGCAACACACCCAAAGTATGTTAGATGGGGCTTCAGAATCCTTGACTCTAAAGAACAGCCTGGTTTCACCCTCTCTAGGATGAACCTGTTTGTTCTCTAAGCTGTTCATTTTATATTCAACAGTCTTCTCCAACATCACAGCTCAAAGGCATCAATTCTCCCTCCATAATCCCTAGTCATTGTCCAGCTTTCTGAGGCATAGCATATAATTGTGAAGATCACAGCCTGGATCAGGTGCTTAGTCTCCAAATTCACATTGTTGCTCTTTAGTACTATGAAGATGTCCCTGACAGCAGACTTTCCCAGTGAAATTCATCTTTTGATCTCCTGGCTGCTGGTACCAAACTGTTAATTGTGAAACCAAGTAAACTAAAGCTGTTAACAATCTCAATTTTTACACCATCTGTCACGCTGCTGATCAGCCCAGAGAAGAGAAACTTTTGTTTCCCTGATGTTGTGCTTCAATTCATATTGAAGGCTGCAGTTCCTGACTCTCTGCAGCAAGTACCTCAGGTCTGCCTCAGTTTCATGAAGCAAGGTTGTATCATCTGGATATCACAGGTTGTTGATGAGTCTTCCTCCAATCCTGATGCCACATTGCTCCTCATCGAGCCTAGCCTTCCAGATGATCTGTTCTGCATATAGATTGAAAAGGTATGGAGATAGGCCATATCCCTGGTGTATACTCTTTCCAATTTTAAACCATGGAGTGTTCCCTTGCTCTGTTCTGATTGCGTCCTGGTCCAGGTTTAGGTTTTATGTAAGTACAATCAAGTGTTCTGGGATTTCCTTGAGTTATCTTTTAAAGATAGTCAGGGGCAGTTCACAGCATAGGCACACACATAAAAAAGGAAGAAAGGAAAATCAATGATCTAATTCACCACCTTCACCAAGTAGGAAAAGAACAACAATCTAATCCTACAGCTTCTAGAAGAAAGGATATTATAAATACAAGAGCTGAAATCAATGAGATATAAAACAGAAAACCAACAGAAAAATCAGTAAGTCCAGAAGCTGGTTTTTCAAAGAGTCAATAAAATTGACAACCAACTGAAAAACTTAGCAAAAGGGGAAAAAAGAGAAGACACAGATAACTGAATTAAGAAATTATGAAGGTGACATCACAACAGAACCAGCTGAAATGAAATCGATAGTATCAGAATACTATGAAAAGCTATACTCTGATAAATTAGAAAACCTAGAGGAAATGGACAAATTCCTTGAAACTCATGCCATACCCAGATTGACACAGGCAGATATAGAACACCTGAACAGATCCATCACAAAAGAAGAAATTGAACAGGTCATAAAAAGACTTCCTCACCAAAAACGTAGTCCTGGACCAAAGAGATAGTTTACAACTCAATTCTACAAACATTCAGAGAAGAGATATCACCAATTCTACTTAAAATATTTTAAAAAAATAGAAAGAACACTCCCAGAGTCATTCTATGAAGCAATCATAACCCTAATACCAAAACCAGGCAAAGATATTACCAAAAAAGAAAACTAAAGACCATTATCTCCTGAATATAGATGCAAAAATGCTTAACAAAATCCTAGGCAATAGAATGCAAAAAGCACATAAAAAAATAATCATCACCAAGTAGGATTTTTAACAGTTATACAATTAGGGTTCAACATAAGAAAAACAGTCAAGGTAATTCACCACATTAACAAAACAAATAACAAGAACCACATGATCTTAACAATTGATGCAGAAAAGTCATTTGACAAAATCCAACACCCTTTCCTGATAAAGACACTCAGCAAAATTGGAACAGAAGATCATTTTTTCAACATAGTGAAAAATATATATGAAAAACCAAGAACCCATATCATTTTCAATGGAAAAAGAAGACTAAAAGCATTTTCCTTGGGAACAGGGACCAGACAATAATACTCACTGTTTCCACTTCTATATTGTATTACAAGTGTTTGATAGGGTAATATGACAAGAAAAGGAAATAAAAGGCATCCAGATCAGCAAAGATATGGTTATGACAGTGTACAGAAAACCCTAAGGATTCAACAAAAACACCATTAGAGCTAGTGGATCAATTTAGTAAGATATAAGATCAATATCTAAACAATCAATAGGATTCCTCTACAGTAACAAAAAAGAACTCATAAAAGGAAACCAAGAAAACAATACCATTTACAATAGCCAACAACAAACGTAGTTTGGCATTTCCTCAGAAAAATGAACACAGAAATTTCATCTGACCCAGCTATTTCACTGCTTAGAATATATTCTGAGAAAATGAGAACCGAGGCACAAATAGAGAGTTTTATACCAACGTTCATAGCAGCATTATTCACCATTGCAAGAACATGGAAACATCCCAAACTACAACCATGACTGAACAGATTGAGAAATTAAGGTATTTACATGATGGAATACTATGCAGCATGAAAGAACAATGATTTTTAAAATCACTACCTAACTTGGGATGGACTGGAGAGTATTATGCTAAGTGAACTAACTCAGTCCCATAAAGATAAATATTGTACAAGACGATTATTGTAGAAATAGCTAACTAGCAAAACGTGTATGAGGATTCATGGAGAGAGGGTGGGAACAGAGTGGTGAGGACAGGAGAGGGAGAAGGGTAATCATTTGGTCAGCAATTAGATGGGTAGAGTGAGGGTTGGGTAAAGGAAATGGGAAACAATGTATATAAACTTTATTTTAAGTAAATCAGTATAAAATAAAAAATGTTCTTAAAAATAATAAAGATAAGTCAGTCATTTGGTACCAAATGATTAAACCGGCTCATGATCAAAACTAGGGAAGAAAAAAATGGAAAAAAGTAACATAAAAAGTCTTATCTCCTAACTCATGATTTATGGTTTTAACTTTTATTAATACTATAAACTAGCAGACTACTTTTTTAAAAAAAAATCATTAAACTAGCAATATACTCATAACAACTGCCCAGGATGGTCCTCACTTAACTTTCATGCCTGTTGAAATCCTACTCACAGTCCTGCTAAGGACAAAATATCTTGCCTTCTCTGAAGCTTGCTTGTCCTCTATTCTGGTAGCCTCCCCCTTGCACTTTTTACCAAGGCCTTTAAAGTACCCTTAGTCTTGTGCCGCATACATTTGGTGTTTTTAATTTGTCTTTTCTGGGTTCTAGGTACATCTCCAGCACTGGACACATTACATCCAGAAAAGACATCCCTCTGGAAACAAAGTAAAGAAGGCACAGGACTGAAAATTCTTCCAGGGTGTGTTATTATTTAGATTATTATTATTAGATTATTTATTCAATTCAGCATAAACCCCTGGAATCCAAGTTGTGGCTACAGAACATATGTATAAAAAGCCAGCCCTGTCTTGACTGTGCAGCCTCCAAGTTCAGGTGCTGCTGATGGAGGCGAGTCCTTGAGAATAGCAGAATGCACTAGTGTTCTCAGCTTCACTTCTATTTATGTCTCTTGCATAAAGCTAGTATTTGTCATCTGGTCTTATCTCATGTTTTTTAACTACACTCTCAGTCTTTAGAACTATGTGGAAAAATATGTGAGTAGGAAAAGTGGAAACAGGAAGACAAAGGCCCATTGTGAGGCAGTGTCCCTACACCATTAATTGAGATTGTTGTTGTTGTTATGTGCCATCGAGTCACCTGCGACTCATAGCAACCCTATATAATAGCCCTAAACCCTGTTCTATCCTGTGCCAATCCTATTGTCTCTGACTCACCAACCTCATTATCCCAGTCACTGACTCAATCCGTCTCATCGAGGGTCTTCCTCTCTTGTGCTGTCTCTCCACCCTCCCATTACGTTGAATAATTCCTAAACCGACTCTCAGAGTCTTTAGGAAGGGCTAAGAAGGGGAGGGCAAGCCACAGAAAGAATCAAACACAAACAGATGTACTGACTCAAAAGAAAGTGACATCAGTTTTTGGTTTGCTCCGGAAGGTCTTTGACAAGATGAGGGCAATTCTAAATGAAGTTAAGAGGCAAAGAGTACGCACAACCCTTTTCTGCTCTGCTGTAGGATTCCTTACTAATATAATGCAAAGCCTTTCAAAGCCTAAATATATCTGCATCATGATGCATGATAAAAATTAAAAACATTATAAAAGGACACTCTGTAGACTAGTTCAATTTGTGCTGTTAATCCCAAACTACTTTAGATGAAAATACCTAAGCCTCAGATGTGGGAGTCTGCTCTGTGGGAGCAGACAGGCACCACATGGGAAATAAAGAATAGCCTTCACCTGAGATGCATGAAGAGCAGAGGGAGGGACAGCAGTTGTCCATGAGCACACAGAGGCTAGGCTGAGGACAACTTTTTGATCCCTGGAATGTTTCTCTCCAGACAAATTGTCCATCTTATAGAAAAGATAGCATGATACAATTATTACCATATTGTAACTTCTAATGAATTGATGACAAGTTCTCGGAATATGCAGTCACTTCACTTATTAATCAAAGATTGGTGTTCAAATCCACCCGGAGGCATTTTGAAAAACAGGCCTGGAGATCTTCTCAAGAATCCTAGGCTTGAAAATGCCTTTGATGCTTTTAATCTATGCACATCAAGTCACTATAACTCAGAAGTGACTCAACAGAAACTAACAATGATGAAAAATAATGAATGAATCTGCTCATCAATGGCTGCTAATATCAAGAAAAAGTAAATACTGGCTGCTTGCTGTTGGGAAAACACATTATTTATGAAGGAATCTAGCCAAAAAAGTTATCAGGGTTCTCAATCAAGGTGATTTTGCTATCAAAAGAACATTCTTTAAATGTCTGAAAACATTGTTGATTGTCACAACTGGGGAAGGGGTTATACTGACATCTAGAGGTCAAGGGAGGCTGCTTATCATCATACACTCACAGGACAACTCCCTACATCAAAGAATATCATGACTTGTTGAAAGCAAGGAGGATCTGAAACATTTGCTGCAGAAGATCGAGGACTACAGCCTTCAGTATAAATTACATCTCAACATCAATAAAAGAAAAATCCTCACCACTGAGTCAATAGGCAACATTATGACAGATGGGAGAAAAGATTGAAATTGTCAATGATTTCACCTTACTTGTATCCACAATCAACACTCTTGGTCAGATCAGGAAATACATCGTAATGGGAAAGTCTGCTGTCAGGGACTTCTCTAAAGTCCTGAAGAGTAAAGATATCAGTTTAAGGACTAAGGCGTGCCTGATTCAAATCATGGTCTTTCAACAGTCATCTACTATGCATCTGAGAGCTGGACAAGACAGAAGAAAGATCAATGCCTTTGCATTGTGGTGTTAGAGAAGAGTACTGACCAGCCCATGGACTGCCAAAAGAACAGAATTAATGTCTTGAAGAAACTATGACCAGAGAGCTCATTAGAGGTAAGGATAGCAAAGCTCCATCTCACATACTTTGAGCATATTATTAGAAGGGGCTATTCCTTAGAAAGTGACATTATGATCAGCAAAAGACCCTCAACTAGATGGATAGACACACTGAGGGAGGCAGTGGGCTCAAGTATGTCAAAGATGATGAGCATGCCACAAGAGATAATAGGGTTCAGTTCTGTTGTTGTTCATAGGGTCACTGTGAGTTGTGTTCCACTTGATAGCAACTAATAACAATTAATGAGGGCTGGTAGCATAGTGTGTTAAGTGTTAGAGCCCTAACCAAAAGGTTGGTTGTTGGAGGGCTGTCATGTATCAAAATGAACCCAAGGGCAGTAGATTTCAGTGTGGTTTAAACAGTCAGTAATAATGCCTGTTCTAGCTCTGACGGCTTAATGGCAAGCAAATGCTGTGCTAACACAAAGGTACGTGGTTTCAATCCATCAGATGCTCCATGGGAGAAAGATGGACTATCTCCTCCTATGCAATTTACTGTCTCTGAAAACCTTCTGGAGGGTCAACTATAGGTTGATTCCAACTTGACAGTACACAACAACAAAACAAGAATAGACTCAACTACAACTTATGAATAAAGTAGACAGTAGAGAACAGCATCTTTATGAGCAATATCCAGGGTGGGGAAACATGTTACATCATACCAAAGGATGCAGCCAGCAAAATCTAGGCTGTAGATAAATTTACAGAATAAATAACACTTTCTTTTTTTCAACAAATATATTGAAAGAAAAAATACAGACATGGCAACTCTAGATTTAAAAAAAAGGTCTACCAGGTATGGGAATAAACAGAAACAGACTAATGGCTCTAGTGTAACCAGCTAAGAAAAACTACAAACTACATGAAAAATTGTTTGCAGACACTGGACTATGGAAAGCCCTGAGAGATCACATCAGAAGCAAATAAAGTAAGTCTTACAATTGTCCCAACCTTCTCCTAGCAGGCACAGGGATGGAGGAGGCAAGCATAGCATGAAGTTCTTGCTAAATTAAGAAGAGAAAAATAACAGTTTAGGGACACTGGTGCAGTTGGAATTTGCAGACAGACTATGAGGCACAAATGATATCAGCAGAGATAGAGAAAGAGCTTCAGAAATTCATACAGCTAATTTCTTAACTCTGTTGTTGACTATTAAACTGCAAACATGTAGTCTAGAACTTCACAAGGATAGGTAAAGAATTTGCAAGGAGCTGCAACAAACAATTCTCACTGAGTGAGAGATCTGCCAGTTCAGCTAGAGTGACCCTAGTGAAAACACCCAAGGCATCAGGAAAGATTCCAGAATGACCATGCCTTACTGGTACCATTACTGTAACTCTTAAAAAAAAAAAAAAAAAAAAAAAAAAAGACTCAAGGCAAACTCCCAAGGGATCCACAAAACAATCCTCATTTTGTTGTTGACTGCCTTCAAGTCGAGCATAACTCTTAGCCGATCCTATGAACAGAAGGCCTGAAGACCCTCTACGACTATCAACATTTATTAAAGTTCATAGCGTTTCCAGAGGCATGTTATTCAGGAAGTGGATGCCACCCCTGCTTCCAAACCTGTCCTCACTTTATACATTTTAAAATATAACTATGGCTTTAAAACAAAAAACGTTGTTGTTGTTGTTGTTAGGTACTAGTAGGGATTCATAGTGAGCCTATGCATAACTGCATGAAATACTGCCCAGTCCTGCACCATCCTCACAAACATGCTATGTTTGAGACAACTGTTGCAGCTACATGGTCATTTTATCTCATTGAGGATTTCCTCTTTTTCTGTGACCCTCAACTTTACTAAGCATGATAGCTTTCTCCAGGGACTGGCCCCTCTTTAACATGCCCAAAAGATGTGAGACAGAGTCTCTTCATTCTTGCTTCTAAGTAACAATATATTATACTATTTATAACATATGAAAGTGAAATGTATGACAACAGCAGAAAGTGGAAAGGAGAAATGACTTATACATACAGGTTTCAAAAAATAATCCAAGAGGGAATGAAAAGAAAGAGAAATGATGAATAAATGGGACAAATTAAACAAACCCAAAGAATCAATTGTTGTTGTTATGTGCCGTAGAGTCGTTTGCGACTCAAAGCGACCCTATGTACAACAGTCCTAAACCGTGCTCTATCCCGTGCCAAACTCATTGCCTCTGACACACCCATCCCGATTACCCCAGTCACTGAATCAACTAGATTAAAAATAAACACTTGAGGCAAAATTTAATAGAAAGATTCTCAGCTTGATCCTTTTTAAAAAAGTAAAAGCAAACCTTATGGTGCCTAAAAATAAAAACATGAAATGTAAAGGTGCAAATAGATGGAAGAAGATAAGGCACCAATGCAAATATTTTATCGTAAGGAAATAGTAGTAGTCCTAGCATATGAAAAGTTTTACCAAGGAGAAAGAGAAATATTTTGTAATGAAAAAATAAGTTGATTCATTACAAAAACACAGTCCTAGAAGTATATTCACCTGGAATTTCAGAATCTATGAGACAAGAACTAAAAGGAAAAATAGACAAATTCCCAAGCATTGATGAGAATTCAACAAACGTTTCTCAGTAATGACTAGAGCAAGTAACAGAAAATCAGTAAGCATACACAAGGCTTGAACAATACTAGCAACTAGATTGATTTGACTGGCAGTACTAGAAAATTCCACTAAACATCACACACATTCTTTTCCAATGTACATGGAATAATCACTAAACCTGACCACGGTGGGTTTATTTTAAAAATAAACTTCCAATAAATTTAAAATGGCTAAAATAATAGCATATGTTCCCTGATGAAAACAAAATTAAATTAAAATCAATAACAGAAA